TCTCTAACCCAAGAGTCTTCTGTGTTCTGGCAGCACCCAGGAAAACACAGCAGGCTAACTTGCTAGCTTGCACGTAGGCTAAACTTTTAGATTCTTTACAGTTCTTCACAGTGTTACCCCCATGAGATTCTTGGAGGCTTGTCTGCCCTCTTTGTTCCACATCCCACCAAACTGCCTCCACCAAACTGGGAGGTGCCCAAAGGAAGAGACCCATACCCCCACTTCAGACCTGGATGGAGCACCATGTCATGGTCCCCTAACAGACTGGGATCTCCTTGGCTCCAGCAACTGTATCACATCAGACGGAGGCTCTCCAGAGCTGGGTTTGCATCCTCTGCCCCTCTGAATACCACTGACTCTGGCAAAACACCCCACTGTCAGGCCAGGCAACGAAGGAGTTTCCCCAAGTTTCTACGATTTTATTCTTTTCCTGAGCCCCAGCTCTCACATACATACTGAACATCCAGAAGCTACACCTGGCTCTTACCTGAGCCCTGTTTGCTATACCTTGACACCGTGTCCTCTGCTCCTTGGAGCTAAGGCAATGAACTGGAGGTGGGTGGGGCAGGAAGCAGGGATGAGGAAGGATGGGGATTGAACTGAAAGGGAAGGGGAGAAAATAGTGATGCCAACAGACATAATGCTTTACATGTTTTCGGTGGGCCAGGTAAAGTCTGGTACTGCATGCTCTCTGACACACAGAAAAAGAGACAGAGGGTCAGAAAGATAATTCACTAACGCTCAGATAGCTTTTATATTTATGTGGTAGAGCTGGGAATTGACCACAGTCTCCTGGGGGCCAAAATCACTCTGTGCCTGTGTGTGCATGCTAAGTCGCTTCAGTCATATCTGACTCTTTGAGACCCTATGGACTGTATGTAGCCCGCCAGGCTCCTCTGGCCATGGGACTTTCCAGGCAAGAATACTGGAGTGGGTTTCTGTGCCCTCCTCCAGGGGATCTTCCCGCCCCAGGGATGAACCCATTATGTCTCCTGCATTGGCAGGTGGGTCCTTTACCACTAGTGCCACTTGGGAAGGCCCAAAGTTATTCTCTGTCCCCTTTAATACCTTCCCAAGAGAGAAGGTAGGGTTTGGGATGGAAGCTCTAGAAAAGGCAGTTATTCTGCGGGTGGAATCCTATGGGCAGGTGAGATTCTAGCCCCGCCCCCTTGTAATCCAGCATTGGCCCTAGAGACCAGACCAAGCTCTGTGGGAACTCTGTCCCATCCCTCTGCCTGATCAGGGGAAGAGGGCAGCACGACTTTGGGGAGAATGGATAAACACGGTGAGTGGGGCTGGAGGACGGGGTCTCTTGACCCCAGGGTGGACCAACAAGCTTATCACCATGGCAACCCCAGAGTAGAAGTCCAGCCTTTTCTCACCCACCCATCCATATACAAGCCCTCTCCTCTCTCTTTTCTAAATATTCCTGACATCTCCTCTCTCATCTTCATCTGCTGCTCTTCAGATCTTTGTCTTCTCTGGCCTGGACCACTGTAATGACGCCTACGTGGGTCTCTGTCTGTCTCCTTCTGTCACAGGAAACATCCTGAAGGATGCTCTGAGCACATCCCTGTATCAAAATGTCCAGAGGCGCCCCAACTGCTGAAGGACAGGGTTCAGGCTCCATAGCCTGGCCCCCAAAGCCCCAACCTCCCTCTCCAATTCCTCATCCTTCCCACATGTCCCCAGCACCCCTTCCTGGCTGTGCCCTAGGTCTGGCCTTTCACAACCAGAAATCTCCTTAATGTGTTTTCCTGAATAAAAATACAGTGGAACTTGGGGATTGCCTGGCAGTCCAGTGGTTAGTACTCTGCACTTCCACTGCACAAGGCACAGGTTTGATCCCTGATCTGGGAACTAAGATCCCACAAGCCATGTAGCTTGGCCAGGAAAAAAAAAAAAATACAGTGGAGCTTGGTTCTCCACCTATAGCAATACCAAGAACTTGTAGAATCTCTGAAAAAAAACTTTTTTGGGGGAAAGCTTTCAAAAGTCTTTGTTGAAATGCAAAGGCCCCTCTCTTACCTACCTCATCACCTACCAGACAGTGTCGGGAAGCAGCAGGACAGATGACGTGGTTAGCCAGGTGACGACATGCAGTTGGTACTCAGCACATGTGGGCTGGAACACTAACTTTATTATCATTCCCCTTTGTTTCCAACCTCTTTAAACAAGATGGGCAGGGATCAGTGGAAAATTTTCTGGACCTTTCTAGGGAAAACCCCAGGAGCTGTGTCTTCCCTTCCCTCCTCTTCCTTTTTTTCCTTGCAAGTCTAGCTCCCCAGATCCGGGAGACCACAGGGCACTCGGTGGGGCTGGGCCTGTGTTTGCTGAATGAGTGGTGGACACCTCCTGGTAGGTTACTTTCAGATCAGCCATAGGAACTTCCTGCCTGCCAGGACTGCTGCTTGGGATTGTGGAGTTTGTGCCCTGAATATCAGCAAGGGGCGATCAGGGGCGGCTGAAATCCAACCAGCAAGGTTGGGGTCAAGCCTGGAAGGACGAATAGAGGCCTTTTTCTCATTGGTCTGCCCTCCGTGTGTGTATGGGGATAAGGGTGAATTTCCACTTAGTCTGCCCATATGGGGCACTTTTCTGTATTGTTCTGCGCATGGGAGGTACCATGTGCTCTCCTGCCTGCCTACCCCGCAGCAAGTGACGCTGGGCTTTCTTAAGGCAAGGCCCATTTTGAAGAAGGAAATCCCATTCCATGCAGAAAACAAAACATAGATAACCACCTATTAAAATTCCAATCGGGGCACTTCATGATTACTGACCGCTGCACAGACATCAGTCCGCACCCCGGGGCCAATTAGAAGGAAGAGGGTGATGAACCACCATACCCGGGCTCGAGCCTCACTGCACCTGCTTGTTACTGGCCTCCGCCCCGCGTCCCAGCCCTGGGCCAGGCGCGTCACACAGACTCCACCTGATACCTGCTTTTCAGTCACCCTTGAGATGGGCACTGTTTCCTCTCCATTTTACAGAAGGGGAAACGGAGCTTGAGACCTTCTTCAGCTGGGACGTTCAGGGACCTAGGCAATCAGGTTCTCCTTTGCCCAGAAAATCCTGCACACTCTGGAAACCCTCTCTTGGAATCTTGCTGGCCCCGCGCATCTCATGCACGTCCTTCGGGCGCCTGCCTTTTTTGGGGGGATCGGGTTAGGCGCCACAGTCAGGGTACCAGGGAGGGCCCTTCACTGATCTCCACCCCCCACTCCCCACACCCGTGCAGGCGTGAAGGCCCCCTTGTGGAAGAAGGAGCTGGAGGAGCCCCGGGCCAGGGAGGCAGAGGCGGAGGCCGAAGCCGCGGAGGAGGAGTCGGAGTCGGAGGACGAGGAGAGGCCGCCGGAGGAGAGCGCGGCCGCGGGCGAGGCCAAGGCCGGCGGGGAGGCGGAGGGCGGCGAGGGCCGCGAGCGGGGCTCGGTGTCGTATTACCCGCTGCGCCAGGAGTCCAGCACCCAGCAGGTGGCGCTGCTGCGGCGCGCGGACAGCGGCTTCTGGGGTTGGTTCAGCCCCTGGGCGCTGCTCGGAGGCCTGGCCGCGCCGGCCGACAGGTGAGGGCGCGCCCCGCGGCGGGGGCGGGATGCCCCTGGGCGCCCGGCGCGAGCGCGCGGCGCGGTGCCCTGAGCGCCCCGGTCCCCGCCCGCAGGAAGCGGAGCCCTCCCGAGGAGCCGTGCGTGCTGGAGACTCGGCGGCGGCGGCCGCGCGGCGGGGGCTGCGCGCGCTGCGAGATCCTTTTCTGCAAGAAGTGCGGGAACTTGCATAGCTCGCCGAGCTACGTGGTCCATTGCGTTCTGGAGCACCCGGATCTGGGGAGAGCCCGGCCTGCTCACGGCGGCCCCTGAGCGCCACCACCACTCCCGGCCTCTGTAGCCCTCCATCCTTGCCTCCACCCCAACTGCCCGCAACCCTCCCCTCTCTTCCCCGACGTCGATCACGTGCCGGAGAGCCGCCCTTCCGGGGCGCCCCCCTCTCGGAGCAGACTAGCAGGCGCATCCCCCATGGGGCGGCCCCACCTGTCATGAGTGCGCAGCCCAACATCATCACCTGGAGGTCCGTTCCTGCAACAGCGCCTCCCCGGCCAGCACGCGGTGCCCATCGCCCACCTGACTCCCGTCTCCTGCCCACAGCCCTCTCACTTGTCTCTTGGGTATTTCAGGTTCCTTCTGGCCCGGTGGGCAGAGGCATCGCCTAAAGTAAACAACCCCTCTGGGAAACTTGCCCCTCCCCTCAAGTCCTCCAATAAAGCCTCTGATCCAAGTGTGAGTGCCTAGAGGAGGGGCGAGGGCCCCGGTGAGCGTGATAAAGAGCAATCCTCCTTGCTCTTCCCCCGGGTTCAAGCCGGAGGGAAAAGGGCAAGCGGAGAGCCTCCTCCCAGCAGCTCCGGGCGGAACCAAGCCCTTGCAGCCAAGGGCAATCAAAGGCCGTTCTCCCCACCGCGCGACCAGAAGAAAAAAGGCAGGCTCCGCGCCAGGAATGCCCCCTGGGAGCTGAGGGCTAAGACTGGCCGGATCTTCCTCCCCTCCCGTGGTCAGTGTGTGTGCCCACGAGGCCCTGGCAGGTGTGGAGTGCGCAGACTAGAGAGTTAGCCCAGAAGCCTGCTGAGACTGAAGACAGGGAGGCTGCGGAGCTGGGTCCTTCTCCAGGAATCCCTGCTATTCTTGGCCGGCCAGCGGGAGCTCCTGGAATGCTTCGTGTGTGGCCAGGACAACGGGGCCATTGTGAGCACCGGGGCTCTCCCAACATGCAGAGGCCTCCAGCGCCTGCAGCAGCCAGACCTCCAGAGAGGCCCCGGGCCTCCTGCGGCCACACAGGGTTCTCCATCTGGCCTGGAGGGTGAGTGGGTGAAGGACACTTTGCTTTTTGAGGAGAGCGGCAGGCCCCCTCTATCACGACTATACACCCGCACAGCTCACTGGTCCTGGCTAGGACAAAGAAGAACATGGTTGCCCCCTCCCCAGCATCCACGCCGGCCTGCTCTCACTGGACACCAGTCCAAGGAAGCTGCTCCCCTGCTCCAAGTCCACTCGCTGGGAGCACCTCTTTATTCCCACCCTCCCCTCCCAAAAAATAGCAGGGCCCAGCAGGTCTGCATTGGTATCCTTGTTCTGGGTCCTGACTCCCCTGAGGTTTCAGACTGTGGTACCCAAACCATACAAGCTTCCTGGAGGCAGGGCCTCTGATTAAATAAGACACAGTTCTCTAGGGACCAAGTCAGGAGGTCCTGAGGGGAAGGGACAGCCTGGGAAAGTGTCCCAACTTCTCCGCTGAGTTTGGCAGCTGTCCTGGTTGTCCAGTACTGTGGCCTCGGGGACAGGAACTGCACCTTTGGGGCAGAAGCATAATCCCCAAGGCCTGGGGAGGAATGAGTCCTTGGGGAAAGGGCCCATGGGGTCTGGGACCCTTTTTAGCTTCTCGAGTTGATCCCACAATGGTCAATGTCTCGGGACTTTCCTGTGGTCCAGTGGTTAAGACTTCATGCTTCCTCTGCAGGGGGACAGGGGTTCGATCCCTGGCTGGGAAATGAGATCTCGAATGCAATGTCTTGACAGCACAAAGACATCCTCCAGGGAACAAACACAGACCACCTTTCTTGCCCTGGCTTCTGTGGGGAGGCTCAGAGGCTTGTCTGCCCTTGGAGCAAGGGACACACATTGGCCATGAAGGCACTCACCAAGAGGTGGGGGCGTCTTCAGAACAGGGCGCCCCCTGAGTTGGCGTGCCAGCAGCCCATCCAGGGCAGCTCTGTGGCCCAGCGGCCAGAGGTGGTTGTCTGGAGCTTGGCCTGGTCGAGGCGCCAATAGCGGTCGTCCCTGAAGAAGATGATGGAGCCGTCAGGCCTGGGCAGGGCACCGCTGACCTCCTCCGGGATACCGCCCCAGTCCTGCAGGCCTCGGGGGTAGTAGGGCTCCACCTGCAGCCCCCCTCGGGCCAGCACGTAGTAGCGAGTGCCTTTGAAGAGGACAAGGCGGCGCAGAGGAGGGAAGAAGAAGGCAGCATCGGGGTGGCTGGGCAGGCCCCCCGTCCGGCACAGCTGTGGGGAGCCCCACACTGGCTTGGGGCCCCGGAACCTCCAGCATCGACTCCCTGTGGGATGACGAAAGGGCCAGGGTGAGTTGGCAGCTCTCACCCTCTGGCTGTGTATCCCACCCCTGTCCCCCCGCACCCCTACTACCCATTGAGTTGGAGCCCAAGGTGGTTAGTACTCACGATAACCAAAATGGATCAGTGATAAATCGCAGAGGAGGAACTGCTGCGGCCTCAACTTCCAGCAGGTGTCAGCAGAGGGCGGGGAGCGCTGAAGACCCNACTCATCAGGAAAGACCCTGATGCTGGGAAATATTGAGGGCAGGAGAAGGGAGTGACAGAAGGAGATGGTTGGATGGCATCACCGACTCAAGGGACATGAGTTTGAGCAAACTCTAGGAGATAGTGAAGGACAAGGAAGCCTGGCGGGCTGCAGTCCATGGGGTCACAAACAGTTGGACATGACTTGGCGACTGAACAACAATGAGTTAAATGACAGGCCCAGCCTCACACAGCTAGGCTTCTAAAGAAGGTTCATTCTTCTGCTGTATTGCAGAGCTCGGAGCTGTCCTCTGCCTCCCTCGTCTCTGAAGTGCTTCCACCCTCTCTCCTGGGACAACCTTGGCACTTGTGTCCCCCAATCCACCACTAAAGGAGGCTCCTGGGAGAGTTCCTGGGGCAGCAGGTTCAGATGGCAATCGAGACTCCTCCCCTGTTTTGACCTTGGGTAGGACTCAATTTTCTCTTCTGCCCCAGGGCTGGTACCTTTGAAGAAGTAGAAGTCTCCATCCTCCAAGGACACGGCGGCTGCCTCGATGTGGGGGGGCAGCCCCGCCCACCTTTCCCGCAGTGGGCGGGGCTCTGAGACGTTGCCGTCAGCTGTCACCTCCCAGAACTGGTTCCCTTGAAAGACGTACAGGCGCTGTTGTCCATCTGCCCGGAGCCAAGAGAGAGTTGAGGAGTGACCGTCAGCCTCCTGCCTTCCTTCCATGGGAGGTGCTTCCCTAGAGCCCAGCTTCCCAAACTGATGAGAGGACCCAGCGGAGAGGATGCTGTGTGCACAGCTGGGACAGAAGCGAAAGTGCAGGAGGGAGCAGGGTTTTGCTTGGCGAGGGCTTGCTACCCTGAGGAGTGCTTGTGACTTGGGATTTCTGGGTTTTATAATTGCCACCCTCTCAACCTTGTACTTCAATTCCGGAGACCCTTGAAGATGCTGGGGGGAGGAAAGAAGAAAGCGAGGCACTGGTGGGACCGTCTTACCTACAGTGATGGCATCGAAGGAAGAATGGCAATATTTAGGACCTCGGGTTTCCGGGCGCCTTCCCTGGAGTCTCAGGGGGTCCCAGGCCTCAAAGTCAGTGAACAGCTTTCCCGGCAGCTGGATGGCCGCTGAGCCCCCCTGGGGCTTCCCTTGGTGGGGGGAGGAGGAGGAGGAGGGAAGCAGGAAAGAACACACATTGGCTGTGGGGTGGGGTGCTGAAAGCTCAAGACCTCCCCCTTGGTTCATTTCATTATCTGACAGGTGCAGGGAAGGAGAGCAGGGGTGGGTGGTGGGGGTTAAGAGTTATCCCTGGTTGTTGGTGTTAACTACAGCACCAAAGTCAGAAGTCCTCTTTCCTATCCCACAGCCTGTGAGAGGGTAAAACTGGAGCGGGGAAACAAACAAGGGTTTGGAACTAAGATGGGCAGAGGGTCCTCTTTCCTGCGTCCTGGACAGTGCAGAGTTCAGGGACCCAGGCTGTGATGATGACCGCAGTGATAATTACATCACTGCACCTCACTTGTGAGAGTGAGGCAGAGTCCAACAAGCTTAGAATGTGGCCTTAGTTCCTGAATCCTGGCCTGCACCTTCCTAGCTGTGTGACCTTGGACAAGTTATTTAACCTTTCTGAGCCCCATTCTCTTCATTTGCGGATAAAAAGATACTTACTTCTTGGGTGTGTTAAGTGCCTGGCCCATGGTAGACACTCATGAAATATCAGCTGCTATTATTATGTTTATGTAGATTTCTTGGGCTACAAAGCATGTTCATAGGCACTAGAACAAGAGCCCTGTGGGGGTAAGCAGGGCCTAAATTATTCCCCTCTCTTTTTTTTTTAAGGTAAAATGGAGGATTCTAACGGAGGAAATGCTTTACCCATGAGCAACGGCTAGTCTGATATGAAATGGAGACTTGATCCCAGGGATCCTGGCCCTGTCCACTGCCCCCACGTACTCAGGGACGCAGCCCCCCAGGCGGAGGCAGGCCTTGGGTCCCTATAAGTCTCCGGGCAACAGCACGGGTCAGTTCACTCTGGGGAGACCTTGTCTAAGTCCACCGNACGAACAGGTTGCGGCCGCGCCGGCGGCTCAGGGACCAGCGCTCGTCTCGGTCGAAGTGCGCTTCCCCGCGGCGGGGCAGGAAGGCGTGCGCCAGGGCGCCCCCTGCAGGCGGCGCGGCATGTCAGGGGCAGCCGGCGCCTCCGGCCCTCCACCCCCACCACCGCCCCGCGCAAACGCCGTTGGCTTGGGTGTGGGTGCTTTTCTGATGGGTGATTTCCCTCCTAATTGAGTCTGGCAGAGGCGGAAGTGTGGAGCAACGAACAGATGACTAGGCTGTGGGTCTGGACGCCTCGGGGGCAGCGTGGTGTGCAAAGAGCATGGGGCCAAACTGCCTGGCTTGCAATCCTGGTTTTAACCATTTATCCTAGCTGCTGCGACCTGGGCAGATAGCTCAAGGCCTCTGTGTCTTAGCTTTTGGATCCGAGAAATGAGAATGTTGACTAAGAGAGTCGATCCTTGCAGGGCTGTTCGGAAGATTAAAAAGGGATGTGTTGCTCAGAATAAAAGTTCGATTTTTAAGTTGAAAAAAAAAAAAAAAAAAAGGATGTGTGCACAGCCCACAGGGCTTCCCAGGTGGTGCTAGTGGTAAAGTACCCGCCTGCCAATGCGGGAGACATAAAAGACATGGGTTCGATTCCTGGGCAGGGAAGATCACCTGGAGGAGGGCATAGCAGCCCACTCCAGTATTCTTGCCTGGAGCATCCCCGTGGACAGAGGAGCCTGGAGGGCTACAGTCCATGGGGTCGCCAAGAGTCGGACACGTCTGAGCACACCACACAGTACATGTGTATGTCACATGTAATACTTAGAGCCTACTGTGGGTAATAACTACTACTTATTTTTGAAGAGATCTAGGATTAGGGGTCAGTGGTTACCCCAGAAGGGGGCAGAATGAGACTTCTGGGGTGTTGGTAATGTTGTTTCTTCATCTAGGTGCTGGGTGTGTTTATGGGGAGATACAGGCTTCCTTTTTAAGAAGTATATATAGGGGAATTCCCTGGCAGTCCAGTGGTTAGGATTTGATTCCTATCAGAGATCTAAGGTAACTAAGAGCCTGCATGCCTCTGAGTGCAGCCAAGAAATAATAGAAAAGAAAGAAAAAAAAAAAACTTGCATTCATTTGTTCTTGCCTTCCCTCTGCCAGGGCCCTCTGTGGATCTCTGCTTCCCTGCTTGTAATAGGCGTGAGCAGAGGGAGATGGGCTGGATCAGTCATTCTCAAGCTTATAGCAGGGCCCAGATCCAGTTTTAGTTTCTAGAGCCCTACCCCCTCAGAATTCACTTTCCCCAAGGGTCAGAAAACAGCACTGCAATGATGCTGGCTTAGGAGCCCATTGAAAGTCCTTCTGACATGGACTTCTTGGAACCCAGGCCAGCAGGGACTGACAAAATTTGGGGGGTTACCACTAGAGGGAGCCTCCTGGGGCATGGAGAGCCGGCCTGAGGAGGAATGTGTGTGTCTGTGTGTGTGTGTGTGCACATGCTAAGTCATGTCTGATTCCTTGTGACCCTATAGACTGTAGCCCCCCAGGCTCTTCTGTCCTTGGGATTCTCCAGGCAAAAACACTGGAGTGGGTTGCCATGCCCTCCTCCAGGGAATCTTCCTGGCCAGGGATCAAACCTGAGTCTCACGTCTCCCGGATTGGCAGGTGGGTTCTTTACCTCTAGTGCCAACTGGGAAGCCAGTGTAGGAGGAATATTTGCTTCTAATTTTGAACATGCCTCAAGTTGTTTTGAGCCATGTAAGCCCTTACTGTGTAACCCTCACCATGATCCTGGAAGACAGATGGGCAGGTTTCAAAGGGAGAAGACGTAAACTCAAACGAACACCAGTTTCAAATCAGAGAGCTGACTCCCAGTCCAGCGCTGTCTTAGCAACCAGACTCCACCTGGGTACGGCTATCAGCGTCTCATGGCGATGTTGTGGGTGAAGGGAGTTACATGCAAGCACATGTGAGTGGTACAGGTGGATTCTTGTAAAGCCTGGATTTCTCCCAGTCCTACCCTGGGTCCCAGGAGCAGGGCTTGGAAGTGGGTTTTGCTCTGAGTGGGCTTGATGGAAAGTAGGAGGGTGCAGGGGAGGTGGGGGCCCAAGTTCCCAGGCCACACAAGGGCTTAAGTCCTGAAGGGGTCTAATGAGGTCTCCTTGCCTCCCTAGCGGAGAGGAGATACACAGATAACCTGTATTCAGGTCATGAAGGCCAGTGCTGGGCAGACCGAGATGAGGGCAGTTTACATTATAACTAAAGGGCAGTAAGCCTTTAGTTTTGGGACCAAACAGAAGAGTCTGGGCTGTGAGTGTGTGAAGCGGTTGGCATGGAGGGGATAGAATGTCCCTTGCCCTGCATCCGTGACTGTGCCCTGGGTGTAGGAGGGTAGGGGTGGAGTTGTGGTGGCCTCCAGGTGTTTTTAGAGCCTTGGTCTGAGGGAACATCCACTCCTGGAGAAAGAGAGGCACCAGCCTGACAAGAGACAGGGTATGGAGGAAAAGACCCCAGGAGGTTCTCCCAGTAGAGATAATACTCCTTAGAGTTTGCAAGACACTTTCCATGCAGAACCTCATGTGACCAACCCTTCAGCCATGCAGCACCTAAGAGAGCAGGGATCACTGTTCCCATTCTACAGGTGGGAAGACTGAGGGTTCTCTGGAGGGGGCTGCAGCCTGGTCAAGCCTACAGGAGGAGCGAACCCTGCACTGCCTTCTCTCCAGACTGCCTTTCCTAGTTGGGTTTCCCTCCTGCCCTGTAGGAGAGAGGCTCGGCGTCAGCACCTGGGCCATCGAAGGCATTGCTCAGCCCGTCGTTGTGGTCCCCTTGGAAGAAGGCGAGGCGGATGTCAGCGGGGCCCGTGGCCGGGGCCTCCCAGAACTCCAGCGCCGAGACGTTGCTCCACAGCTGGAAGGCGGCACGCACAGCCCCCCGGACTGCGGGCTCGGGCAGGTGCTGGGGCCAGTTCACCAGGCGGTAGGAGAGATGCCGTTTGTACCACTTGTTGCCTGCCACCCAGAGAGGCTGCGTCAGTCACCGGTTGCAGGGGAGCTTGGGGTTGGCCTGTTGGCCCTTTTTGTTGGGGGGTTGGGCCTTCCCCGGGGAGTTCGTTGACTTGTTGAGGGGGCCCCGGCTTTGGCCCGGGGAGGTCCCCATCGGTGGAGGCACTGATCTCAGACTGACAAAGCGACCCTTGTCTTGCACAGTCTCTGGTCCGGTGGCTTGGCCGGGGGAGGCCCCCGTGTGATGGGGGCTGTGGAGCCTCGACTCAGGAAGGATCCCTAACCCCAAGGACTCTCGGGTCTAGGGTCACCTTCCCCACTGTCTGGACCAAGCTTGAACATTGAGCCACGCCTCTTGCTGGTAGCGGATCCCAGCCCCTGCCTACCGTGTGGGGGCAGAGGAAGGGGGGCCGTGGGGGCCGCACCCGAGATTCCCCTCTCCCCACTCCTCTTCCCCACCCCTCTCACTCTCCTGCTATCTCCCCTTCCCCGCGCCCCCAGGCCTGCCGCTGACAAGAGACCACAAGGCGCATTTATTTGAGGTCCTTCTCTGCCCCCCAGCCCTCCCCCCTCACTTCCTCAGGGACTCTGCAGAGCTCTGAGGTGAAAACAAATAAGAACAAAGGATGTGTTTTGTCACTGACCAAGAGAAATTTTTCCATTTCCACTCAGTGAAGAGTTCCTTTGCCCCAAACTGCAGTTCCCCCTGGAGGCCGGAGATTCTGGCCTCTTGCCCGCGTCCCCAGCCAGCCAAGTCCCTCTGCAGCTCATCGGTCACCCAGGACCAGGGTGCTCAGAAGGTCCAGCTCTCAGACTTTTTAATGGGCTATTTCTGAGCTCTGCAGGCTCAGGGACTGAGACTGTGACCCCCAAGTGGAAGACTTGCAGCTCAGAGGTAGGACTCCTGGGAGTGCACGAGAATCACGTGGTCTTAATCACATTGTCTTTTGGGTCTCAGTGTCCTGAGTTACGGAAAAGAACCCGCCTGCCAATGCAGGAGACATAAGAGATGCGGATTCGATCCCTAGGTTGGAAAGATCCCCTGGAGGAGGGCGTGGCAACCCACTCCAATACCCTTGCCTGGAGAATCCCATGGACAGAGGAGCCTGGCGGGCTCCAGTCCATGGGGTCGCAAAGAGCTGGACACGGGTGAAGTGACTTAGCACTCACATATGTCCCACATGGACCAGACTTCCTGCAGCATGGGTGATGAGTGGGCAGGGCGGGCCTGCCTGTATTGGAGGACAGCCCCCTCTCTTCTCGGAGGGGGGACCAGGTGAAGGTTCAGAGCTCCTGCCCTTTTGTCCTGGGGCTGTCTTTGCCTGAACCAGGCAGAAGGCGTGAAGTCATGGGTGTTCGGCCATCTCCTTATCCATCTCTGCTCTGTTTTGCAGAGACTGAGACCAGTCCTCACTTCCTCAGGGACTCTGCAGAGCTCTGAGGTGAAAACAAATAAGAACAAAGGATGTGTTTTGTCACTGACCAAGAGAAATTTTTCCATTTCCACTCAGTGAAGAGTTCCTTTGCCCCAAACTGCAGTTCCTCCCGGAGGCCGGAGACTCTGGCCTCTTGCCCGCGTCCCCAGTCAGCCAAGTCCCTATGCAGCTCATCGGTCAACCAGGACCAGGGTGCTCAGAAGGTCCAGCTCTCAGACTTTTTAATGGGCTATTTCTGAGCTCTGCATGCTCAGGGACTGAGACTGTGACCCCCAAGTGGAAGACTTGCAGCTCAGAGGTAGGACTCCTGGGAGTGCACGAGAATCACGTTGTCTTAATCACATTGTCTTTTGGGTCTCAGTGTCCTGAGTTACGGTAAAGAACCTGCCTGCCAATGCAGGAGACAGAAGAGATGCGGATTCGATCCCTAGGTCGGAAAGATCCCCTGGAGGAGGGCGTGGCAACCCACTCCAATACCCTTGCCTGGAGAATCCCATGGACAGAGGAGCCTGGCGGGCTCCAGTCCATGGGGTCGCAAAGAGCTGGACACGGGTGAAGTGACTTAGCACTCACATATGTCCCACATGGACCAGACTTCCTGCAGCATGGGTGATGAGTGGGCAGGGCGGGCCTGCCTGTATTGGAGGACAGCCCCCTCTCTTCTCGGAGGGGGGACCAGGTGAAGGTTCAGAGCTCCTGCCCTTTTGTCCTGGGGCTGTCTTTGCCTGAACCAGGCAGAAGGCGTGAAGTCATGGGTGTTCGGCCATCTCCTTATCCATCTCTGCTCTGTTTTGCAGAGACTGAGACCAGGAGGAAGGGACTCAGAATGAGTGAGTCAGGACTTCCCCTGGTCATCCAGGAGTCAAGATGTTGCCCTCCCCATGCAGGGGGCACGGGTTCCATCCCCGGTTGGGGAACTAAGATCCTGAACTTGGCACGGCATGGCCAAAAAAACAACAAACAAAAACAGAAAAAATAAAGATAAAATCTCTTAAGATAAAAAAAAAAAGAATGAGTGAGTAGTGGAGCTTGGCCCTGAGCCCCGGCCCGACACTGATAAGCAGGCACATTGGCTAAGACTCAAGGCTTATACATTTGCCTAAACATCGCTCTTTTGCGTCACAGCAGGGGCCCTGCAAGAGCTGAAATTCTCCTGAATTCTCTGGAGAGCAGAAGAGCTGAGTGCCCTTTCCCTCCTCTCCACCCCTCCACGCCCTATGGCAGGCAGGGAGGGACTGTCCCTTCTCCTACCCCGAGCCAAGCTCCAGGCAAGGCAAGGCTGCCTCCTGATACTGTAGGGTCTGGCAGCCACCCAACCTCTCCCAGCCAGTGAGCAACTCTCAAGGAGGGAACAGGGAAGGATCTAAGGATGGGAGGGGGCCCAGGAGGGCAGAGGAAGGCCTGGAGTCCAGAGGCGCCGCCTGAGGCTTCACTCTATGCCAGGAAGCTTCTCTTTGACAAGTCTTCACTGGGCTGGACTCCTCTCCACCCTGCTATGGGTAAGCCACTCTCAGACTCTCTCCCCTCCACCTTCAAGCTTCTAGAAAAGTATGAGGCAGCTCCTTCTGCCTTTTTGCAGCTAGGAGAAGCCCTCACTCTGTGGGCAAGAAGTGGGGAGGCTAGGGAGGACAAACAGAAATGGGAATTGAGAGAAAATGACTAACTGTCCTTAGGAGCGGAGCTGGGTGAGGGCCAGGGGAGCAAGGAACCACTGGGCCAGCAGCCTGAGCCTTTACCCCCTGTCTTCTTCTAGGTGTGTGTTCTCGGAGCAGACCGGCCACTTTGGGCCCCCATCCCAAACGCCTGGCCAGGCAGGGCTGGTTTCCATGGTGACCCTCAGGCCACAGTAGCATCTGGCATCGCACCCCCTACACCTTTGCTCCAAAATCCAAAAGGGAGGAGGGAGGAAAAAAGAGACGGGGAAGGGCAGAGAGCTAGATTCCTTGCTTGGGAAGACCTTGAAGTCCTGATTCCCAACAGGGAACTGATATTATGGAGAGAACATGGGTCAACATCCCAGTGCCTCTGCTTACAACCTCGAATATCAAATTAGTTGAATCTTTCCAAGCCTAAGTTTCCTTACTTGCAAAGTGGGGTTGGTAAGACCCACCTCCTGGTAAAAGTGAAATAGCAAGTGAAAAAGTAACACAAAGCTGCCTGGCATGTGGTGGGTGCTCAGTCAATATGCTGGCTCCTTCCTTTTATATCCCAGATACAACCCCTGGAGCCCTCACCTGCATCAGCTCTGGGAGGTTTTGGGAGCATTGAAAATCAGCCCTGTAAGCACATCTAGTTCCATGTGAACTTTGGATAAACAGCAAATACCTTTTTTTTTTTTTTTGGTATAAGTATGTGAAAACAAAATAATTACTTCTTGTTCATCTGAACTTCAAATTTAAATGGGCATCCTGTGTTTTATCTGGCAACCCTGGAGCCCAACTTCATCAGTACAGCATTCATCCACATCATGGAAAGCCACTGGCCTAGAAACCCACATCATTTTTTATGCACCTACCCACGTTCTGGGGTTTTTCACATCTGGTGATCACTTAATCCTCCCAATGACAAGAAGGCTTGGCTACTGTGTGGCCCTGGGAGAGTTGCCCAAGCTCTTGATCCCTCATTTTCCCCATCTGTAAACTGAGGGTGATAAGGGCGACCCATCTCATACAGTTTTTATTGAATACAATGAGTTAATCCACGTAGAACCATGCTTGGCACATCATCAAGACTCAGCAGCCAACCAGGCTCCTCTCTCCATGGAATTCTCCAGGCAAGAATACTGGAGTGGGTTGCCATCTCCTTCTCCAGGGTAACTTCCCAACCCAGGGATCCAATTCAGGTCTCTTGTATTACAGGCAGATTCTCTACTGTCTAGGCCACCAGGGAAGCCCAGTAATGATTACATTCTCTTTCCTAAGGCATAGGAAGTGCTCAGTGCCTGCCACACTCGCAGCTCCATTCTAGGGAACGTCCTCCCACCCAGGAGGAAAAGGAAGTCAAGCTGCTCTGGTGCATGTTGTGAACCAGAGGAAATTCTCTGTCTAGTCTGGCCACTGCTGTCTGGACAGAGGGGGACAGTGTCATGCAATGAGATGGAGAAGGAGGTACCTTAGCATGGATTGATGTTCAAAAGGAATGCTCCAGGACTTTTTACAATAGCCAAGACATGGAAGCAACCTAAATGTCCATCAACAGATGAGTGGATAAAGAAGAGGTAGATATATATAATGGAATATTATTCAGCCATTAATAAAAATGAAATAATGTCATTTGCAGCCATGTGGATGGAGCTAGAGATTATCATACTGAGTGAAGTGTCAGAGAAGGAGGACGATCATATGGCAGTCCTTGTATGTAGAATCTAAAAAGAAATGATATAAATGAACTTACAAAACAGACAGAGACAACAAACTTATGGTTGCTGGGGAGAAAGATGGGGGGATGAGACAGTTAGGGAGTTTGGGATGGACATGGACACCTTGGGGCTTCCCTGCTGGCTCAGCTGGTATAGAATCAGCCGGCAATGTGGGAGACCTGGGTTCGATCCCTGGGTTGGGAAGATCCCCTGGAGAAGGGAAAGGCTACCCACAAGGTAGCCAACAAGGATGTACTGTATAGCAAAGGCAATCTGCTCAGCGTTACGTGACAGCCTGGGTGGGAGAGGAGTTTGGGGGAGAGTGGATACATGTACATGTATGGCTGAGTCCCTTCCCCTTTGCTGAAACTATCACAACATTGTTAATCGGCTATACTCCAATACAAAATAAAAAGTTAAAAAAAAAAAGAATGCTTCAAATTGGATGTGGTAAATGGACTCCGCTAGTTCCTCCCTTGGGGCTTGCCTGGAGGCTGCATCCCTGTGCTCAGGTCACGTCCTGAGCACCCAGGAGGCATCGCTTCAATTCTCTAGGACACCGGCTCTAGCCTGACGTGTCGCTATTGAGACTGTCTGTGGCCCCATTTTCCACTGTATTCTCACGACAAGTCCCTTCCCCTTGGTAATCAGGGCCTCTCCTTTACAGATATTTCAGACACAGCCCAGGTCACACAACTAAACGCAGAGCCCCAGATCCATCCAGGGATGTTGCTCCAGCTCACACTGCTCCTCCATTCTGCCTCACCCTTCCCCTCCACTGTCCAGAAGCATGGGGGGCTGCAGAATATGCTGACTCCAAGGACATCTTGACCGCAGAGTTCAGATCTCCAGTGCTCCTCTCTGTTCTACCAGGAATGCATTCGGGCAGTACGGGGCACCCGGAGGGGCCGCACGTGTGGACACAGTGGAGCCGGATTGGCAAACACCTGGAAACACCCGTCCTCCGACAGCTGAGGGGAACTGCCCACAGTTTCCTTACAAATCAGCTAAGAAATACAAAAAAACAGCATGCCTCCTGTTCTGTTCCTAATGGGTATTGTCAGCCAAAGTCGTTCATGCAAATTAAAAGAAGCAATGGCCCTAAGTGCCCATAGTAAAATTAATAATAGATGAGAACCTGACTGAGCAAACTCGTCTTGTTAGAAATCTTGAAAACTGCAAAAAACTGACTAGAAAAAACTAGACTTAGTACAGACAAGGCGTTAAAATTACACAGTCAAACTTGTTATTGACAAAGAATTGACAAGAACCGAATCTTCTTCATAAATCTTAGTTCTGTAACATCTGATCCTGGAAGATTGGATTTGGACAAACAAGGAGAAAGTGGAGGAGGAGAAAGAAGGGAAGAAAAACCCCAAAACTACACAAGGAGACGTACAACGGCAAAAACTGTAACGTGAAAATGTGTAAAATAGACAAATTCAAACAGTCGGGAAGGAGGTTGATCAGTGTTGCCAACGGCTGGCGGGCAGGGGAATGGGACAGACGGTTTCTTTGTTGGGATGGGGTTTCTTTTTGAGGTGATGGAAATGTTCTGAAATGAGATTGTGGCGATGGTTGCACAATGCTGTGAATATACTAAAAATCACTGAACTGTTCACTTTAAGTGGGTAAATTGTATGGTAAGTGAATTGTATTTCCATAACACTGTAAAAAAAAAATGTGCCATGACCAAAATAAAACTGATCGATGACACATCTTTGTTGAATAATTCTTATGAAAAAGAATCGATTCAGATGAAAATGACTTCAGTCAAATATAAAAGAAAACAGCGATGGTTTAACTGCCATAAATAGCAAATTGATCAAGGAATTAAGTGGGCTTGATGTGGTTTGCTCTGGAAAATACCTGCACAATGAAAGTTCATCAATATAGGCATCATTCTGGTTTAAATGTGTGCTCACAAACATGAGCTTTGGGTTAAGAGGTCCCAGTTGCCCTCCCTAAGGAAGAGAGGTTATTGACAGAGCCTGGTCTGAGTCTGAGAAGTATTTTTCTGGCTACTGGGGAATTCCAGCCCACCTAGATTTTAACAGTACTCACCTTGCCTTGCAAAGCGTTTCTTACGCCTCATTTTGGCCCGGTGTCCAGCAAAGAGGGCACTGACTCTCTCGGTCCAAGGCATCTGGCTGTCAGTATCTGCCACCCCGCAACGGGGCCGCGTCATCTGACGCAGGGTGGCGGAGTCCAGCACCCCACTGACGGGCAGCTGGGAAACCCACTGGAACTCCCTGTTAGGAGGAATTGAGATAAAGGACCACAGCGGGAGGCTGGCTGGTGCAGGGGAAGGCAGGCGGTGGGGGACAGGGGAGGGAGAGAGCGTGACCTCCTGCACACAGGTGGGAGACCAGCCTTCTAGCAGGAAAGCAGAGGTGAACCAAGCTTTTGCACGCCAGCATCACCAAGTCTTCCACATCCCTCTGCCTTACCTGATGGCATTACTGAATCGCGTGGAGGAAGGACTACTGGGGACCTGGTCACTGAGATATCCATACTTCTCCAGGAATGCCTGGGGGAGAGATGAACATCAGCTTTCCCTACAATGTAGCATTCTTTCCTCTTCCTGAATCTCCCAGGGTCCACGGCACAGACTTCACGTCCAGGCTTATGCTCATTCCCAACCGGGTCTATGAGCTATAGCAGAGAGAATCCTGGCATCAGAGTCAGAACCTGCACTCAGTTCCTGGCCACCACTGATGAACTGGATATAGTTCTTTTTTTAAATTAATTTATTAAAACAATTTATTATTTATTTATTTGGCTGCACTGGGTCTTAGTTGCAACATGCAGGATCTTTATTTGCCACATACGAACTCTTAGTTTCAGCATGTGGGATCTAGTTCCCTGACCAGGGATCAAACCCAGGCCCCCTGCACTGGAGCACTGAGTCTTACCCACTGGACCACCACGGATGTCCGTGGATATAGTTCTTGGAGGCCAGTGGAGAGAAGTGTGGGACTCACTGCCCATACCTATCACCAGTCCAGCCCCTCGGGTGAGTGAGGCACTGGGCTCCCTGTTTGCCCTTCTCATGGATAAAGTCCCATCAATGGATTAAAAAAAAAAAAGCCACCTCAGCTCCTGAATTCTTATATAGACACATCGACTCTTCATTTTACCCCTCTTTGCTATGTTACCTATCCAGAAACAATTTTCTATCTTTCTTGTTCTCTTTGCTGTATTTCTTAACTCAGATCAACTCCAATCATAGCCGTTGCTTCAAGGAAAAGGTACAAGTTGGGAACAAAATCACACTAAGTAAGCAGCCCCTAAACCTCCCGCCTCCTTTTTGTGGATTTCATTACCTCGATCTCCAGCACACTGTACATCCTCTTCTCAACACAGCCCTGTTCCATAAGAAACCCTCGTTCTAGACAAACTCTTTCCAAGTCCATTTGATTGTTCTTCTGTGCTAATTTATTGGTATTTCAGCACTATTGTTTCCCTCTTTCTCTTTGCATGTTGGTGGTGGTTTAGTCGCTAATTCGTGTCCGGGTGACCCCATGGACCATAGCTGGCCAGGCTCCTCTGTCCTTGCGATTTCCCAGGCAAGAATACTGGAGTGGGTTGCCCTTCCCTTCTGCAGTCTGTTTGCATAGGTACACTGTTTGGGGTTGCACCTTGGATTAAAGGAGTTCTAGGGGTTTAATCTGGAAGACTCTTTATGGCTCAAACTAGTGTGGCATTATAGAGTAAACTCTGGGCTTGGAATCAAGAATCTGTTCGCCACCATGACTCTGCTGGGTGGCCAGGGACCTCTCTGAGCTTCCATTTCTTCACCCACAGTGTGAGACCAGAAATAACCCCACCGGATTCTCAGAAGGATTAAATACAGCAGTGTCCATCTAGCATAGTTGTCTGGTATATAGAGAACACTCAATGCACAGTTGATCTGGCTGATCGACCTTAGTGGGGAAATCAGCAAGACTTTCGGAAGGCAACCCCTCTATGAGACAGGAAGTGCTTTGAACAAGGCAGTTGTGCCTCTGTTAATCAGGCCCTCTATCTCAGACTTGCCTCACGCCAGCCAGGTGCCTAGCTCTCATCCGTGCCTCTTCCCTCTCCCCTGGGGAGGGTGGACAGAGTGGCTTTCTACCGGAAGCCAGGGAGGAATTAATGTTTCCCCAGAAGTGGTTTTGCTGAGTGAGTGACCTGGGAGAGACTGAGTCACAGGCTAACGGGGTGGCACTCCCCGTGTTCCTCCCCCTAAACCCACCCAGCCCTTATCAGGGAGTTGGCTCTGGTTCTGGAACTACGAAGCCTTGCACAGAGCGGGAGGGGAGAGGGGAAGTGGGCTAGCGGCGTCTCCTGTTTCCTGGCTGGGCTGCCAGCGCCTGGTACTTCTGGCAGGCAAGGTGGGTGGAGGGCAGGATGGGGCTGGAGGCTTTTGCAGGGGTCTATCAGAGGGGAAGTCCTGGGCTGCCTGGTCTCTGGGAATCTGTGGGTTGCAAGGCAGAGCTGAATTTCCAGCAGGCAGAGCGCGCAAGCATCCAGGACACCAGCCAAGAGACACCAAAAGAATGAGTAAAAGAAATGTTAAGAATCTGACACTTTATACTTCCATAAAAGCACAGAAATGTTATAATGGGGATTATCAGGATTTCAGAACTCCCTTATAGTTATTCTATGTTTAGTATGCATGCGTGCTTAGTCGCTTAAGTCGTGTCCCACTCTGCAACCCCATGGATGGTAGCCTGCCAGGCTCCTCTGTCTGTGGGATTCTCCAGGCAAGACTACTGGAGTGGGTTGCCATTTCCTCCCCCAGGGGTGTTTAATATGCACATATTTTAAAATATTTTAGGTACAGGCAGGGGCCCCTTAATCCTGAGTGTCCTCAAGTTCTGTCGAGTGGATGGAGGCCCACATCTCAGGCGAGGAGGAGGCACGGCTGAGATGCCCTCTGCTCCTAAAGGCTCCCTCACCCCCTTCTGTGTGCCCCTTTGCCCTGCCTCAGTTTTCCTCCTGCAAAGCTGAGAGAAACTCCCCTCTCTGCCTGGGAGAAAGAGTAGGGGTGCAGGGCTGGAGGGGCTTCCCAGGTGGTGCTAAAGAACCCACCTGCCAATGCAGGAGACAAGAGGTGCAGGCTCCATCCCTGGCTCAGAAAGATCCCCTGGAGGAGGGCACGGCAACCCACTCCAGTATTCTTGCCTGGAGAATCCCATGGACAGAGGAGCCTGGCGGGCTGCAGTCCTTGGGGTCACAAAGAGTCAGACACGACTGAAGCGACTTAGCATGTACACACGCAGGTGGCAGCGTGGCCGAGACCCCAGGAGAAAACGCAGGCCTGGGGGGCTGTGCTGTGCGCTCTCAGGGGCTCCCAAGCTGCACCTGGGGTCACCTCTGTCCCCCTTCTCGGAGCCCATGCCCAGGTGCTCCTCCCTGCCTCGCCGTTCAAGCACCAGGTTTTCTCTCTGCCCTGTCCTCACCCCGTCATGTCCCCCACGGAGCCCAGGGCTGCAGCTGCAGGAAGAGGAAGCTGGAGGGCTGTGTGCCTCCATGATTCACCCTCTCAGGTCTCAAAGTGTGTGCCAACCTGCCTCACCCACTCACTCAGGACGGGGGCCGCTTCCCTGCGGAGTCGCCTCCGTAAAGCCCTGGGAGTGGCTGTGGTGTCTGAGAAAAAGGAAAATGGTTCTCCCTGGACCCAGAAAGCTGAGAAGGATCAGAATTCCAGGGGTTCGAGTCCTTCATCTGTCCTGACTTGCCCTGGGAGGGTGTGTAGAGCCCAGCCCACCCAGTGCCTGAAGGAAGGGGAAGTTCTGGCCATTTCTGAGCAGGGTAAGACTAGCAGTGAGGTGTAGCAAATGAATCCCAGAGCTCTGAGTCATGAGCCGGGCAGGGCAGGAGCCCAGGACTGAGCACTTGAACTTATTCTTGGTGCTGCGGAGAACTGTGTGTCCTTAAGCAAGTCCTGTGCCTCTCTGATCTCAGCTGCCTCTTCTATAAAACGAGGGGGTTGCAAGACCTCCCTGGCGGTCCAGTGGCTAAGACTCCATGCTCCCAAAGCAGGGGGCCTGGGTTGGATCCCTGATCGGGAAACTAGATCCCACATGATGCAACAATGAAGACCCAGTGCAGCCAAATAAATAAATATTAAAAAAAAATAAAGTGAGGGGATTGGATTAGTGCTAAGATCTGCCCCAGTTCCTTCTATTATTGGAGCCTTGCTTCTGCAAATGATTAGCTGTGTGAACTATCCAACAGAGTTACTTACCCTCTCTGTGCCCCCAAATATAAAATGGGGTTAGGAATACTGCCTTATGCTTTTCACAGGAGCATTGTAAAAATCCAGTAAGAGGAAGCTTTGGGAAGCTTTTATGATAGTTGCTTCATTAAAAATGTTATTTTCCCCTTTATAGACACAGAACTTAATTGCTGGAAGGGACCTTTGGTAAATGAGTTGAGGGGGGACCAGCTCCCAGTCTCCTGTCCACAGAGTGGCTGGGACATCCTCCATATCAAAAATTGCAAGGACTTCTCTGGTGGCCCACTGGTTAAGAATCTGGCTGACAATGCAGGGGACACCAGTTTGATCCCTGGTCAGGGAACTAAGATCCCACAAGCCATGGAGCAACTAAGCCCGTGAGCCACAACTAGAGAAAAGTCTGTGCACCGCGACGAACAACCCTGCATGCTGCAATGAAGATCCCACGTGCGGCAACTAAGACCCAATACAGCCAAAGAAAGGAATAATTTTAAAAAGAACTGCAGCAGCAAATATGAAGCAAAGAACTTGGAAAATTGCAAAATGGCAAGCTCATGAAGAAACCGCATTGCTTTACCTATGATCTTTTCCTTCTCATATTATGTTCCCTCTTGATTTTAATCTTTCTATAGTGACTCTGTGATTGTGCTTATCATCCAATACATCTGTAGCCCTATTAGCTAAGTCAAGATGCAGGGGGTGATAGCTGACGTTCTATCTTGGCCTGAGTGCTGTGGTGCTTCAGTTGTGTCTGAATCTTTGTGACCTTACAGACTATAGACCGCCAGGCTCCTCTGTCCATGGGATTCTCCAGGCAAGGATACTGGAGTGGGTCACCATGCCCTCCTCCAGCGGATCTTCCCAACCCAAGGATCAAACCTGTGTCTCTCATGTCTCCTGCACCGGCAGGCGGGTTCCTTCCCACTAGGGCCATCTGGGAAGCCCAAGCCCTCTCTTGGCATGTCCCATGAATAAATGTATTTTCTGGTCATCAGGACCACAGTGAGCTCCTGCCTATTGCAAAGTTTTCAGGACAGCTCACTTTCCTTGAGCATCACAATTACCTTGAAAGAACATAGGCAGGACAGTGTTAGTCCCATTCTAAAAATTAGAAAAGTAAGTCTCAAGGGAGTACAGCGTCTCATATGCTGTGCTGTGCTTAGTCGCTCAGTCATGTCTGATTCTTTGAAACCCCATGGACTATAGCCTTCCAGGCTCCTCTGTCCATGGGGATTCTCCAGGCAAGAATACTGGAGTGGCTTGCCATGCCCTCCTCCAGGGGATCTTCCCAACCCAGGGACTGA